AACCAGGACTAAACTTAAACCAGGAAACCAGGACTAAACCAGGACTCTAAACCAGGACTAAACCAGGACTAAACCAGGACTAAACCAGGACTAAACCAGGACTAAACCAGGTCTAAACCAGGACTCTATTAGGTCTAAAACTGTTCGGGCTTTTCTGTCGTCTCCGTTTGTCGTTCCAAACTCCATCCAAACTTTAAGTAGGAAAAAACTGAGGCACTCGAAAAGTTCTAAATAATTTAGTTTTGCCCTGATGAAGCTGAAGGGCTGAAAACAAGTCGGTGAGATTTTAACTTCATCTGTGTCGTGTTAAAGGCTTTGAATTATTTTGTACTTTTCCAGTGCCTCAGTTTTTTCCTACTTGTTGTTTGAGACTCGTCCTCACACTGAAAACACCAAAAGGACAATTCTGCACATTTTTCTATTTCCAAAGATTTGCACCATCCAAACTTTTCCCACAGTGGATCTGATGATAATTGTACGGAAGCCGAGAGGGTCACAACAAATACAAAAAGCCACAAACACATTAAAAAGCCACAACGGAAATGACCGCGGGACTCTATTTTCCAACGGACCGATCAAGCGGCAAGTGAAGAAGAAGAACTACAACGTGAAAAATAAAGGAACAGAGAAGTTGGAAACGTAAGTAAAAGTAATTTATTGTTTTATCGTTATTCGTTTCACGTTGTAGTTCTTCTTCTTCACTTGCTGCTTGATCGGTCCGGCGGAAAATAGAGTCCCACGGTCACTTCTGTTGTGGCTTTTTTTGTTTTTTCTTGTGGCTTTTTGTTGTGTTGTGGCGTTTGTATTTGTTGAGGCGTTTGTATTTGTTGAGGCGTTTGTATTTGTTGAGGCGTTTGTATTTGTTGAGGCGTTTGTATTTGTTGAGGCGTTTGTGTTGTTTGATTTGTTGCGTTTGTATTTGTTGTTTGTATGGCGTTTGTATTTGTGTTGTATTTGTTGCGTTTGTATTTGTTGTTTGTTTTGTTGCGTTTGTATTTGTTGAGGCGTTTGTTTGTTGTGGCGTTTGTATTTGTTTGTTGAGGCGTTTGTATTTGTTGAGTTGCGTTTGTATTTGTTGTGGCGTTGTGTTGTTTTGTTGAGGCGTTTGTGTTGATTTGTTGTTGAGGCGTTTGTATTTGTTTGTTGTAGGCGTTTGTATTTGTTTGAGGCGCGTTTGTGTTGTTTGTTTTGAGGCGTTTGTATTTGTTGAGGCGTTTGTATTTGTTGAGGTTTGTATTTGTTGCGTTTGTTTTGTTGATTTGTTTTGAGGCGTTTGTATTGTTGAGGCGTTTGTATTTGTTGTTTGTATTTGTTGAGGCGTTTGTATTTGTTGAGGCGTTTGTATTTGTTGAGGCGTTTGTTTGTTGTTTGTTGTGGCGTTTGTATTTGTTGAGGCGTTTGTATTTTGTTGAGGCGTTTGTATTTGTGAGGTTTGAGTTTGTATTTGTTGAGGCGTTTGTATTTGTTGAGGCGTTTGTTTTGTTGAGGCGTTTGTTTGTGTTGTGCGTTTGTATTTGTTGTGGCGTTTGTATTTGTTGATTTGCGTTTGTGTTTGTTGTGATCCTCTCGGCTTGTGAAGCAGCGGCTGGAGAATCGTCTCATCATCACACTTTCCGTCTGTGAGCTGAGGAGGAGGAGGAGGGAAGAGCGTCGGAGAAGGAGGAAGAAGACAAAAGCTCGGCCCACTCCCGCATCCCGCTCACAAATCCAAAGAGACGTGGATCAAAGTCCCGAGACACGACTGGTGGAGCCGGATCGTCCGGATCAACACGTCAGAAGGACAAACATTCTTTTTAACAAGAAGAAACGAGAAACATGATCCAGAAGGAAATTCATTTGGCTTTAAAATCAGAATAAACCTCCTACTTACTTAAGTCTTTTTAAAGCAGAATTCATTTTTCTTCAGAATTCAATTATTTTGATTCTGAATTAAATCTCTCATGTAAACGTGGAGATATTAGCCCAAAACTACTTGGGTGGTTGAACATTTCTTACTTGAAGTTCTGGTTCTACGGCAGCAGAGAAGTGGGTGCTCCTCACAGTTTCAAAGGTCAAAATAGGGACGCTACACTTTTGTTTTGTTATTTATCTTGCACATCTTTTGTTCTCTGGTTTTACTTCTGGTTTAGTTCTAATTTATTCCTGTTTTTAGTCCTGGTTTTACTTCTGGTTTAGTCCTGTTTTCAGTCCTGGTTTAGTCCTGGTCTTAGTTCTGGTTTAGTCCTGCTTTCAGTCCTGGTTTTAGTTCTGGTTTAGAGGCGCACGGGAAGAGGCATGGTCCTTGCGCTGTACGGGAGGAACGTTCTGTAGTAGTTCTGGTGCTTACGAGGGCCAAATTCTTACATTTGAACCATTTTTAATGTTTCCATTCTCTTACTCGAGGCTGAACTTGATCTGCTGAATAAACAGATCAACTAACATAACCACTATCTCTACATCGCACAAGCTCAATAAACTGTCCATGATGCTGTGATGCTTCAACTTAATTACCCAAATCGTAATGGTCGGACAGGCATTGCAAATATATTTTGTAGCAACACTGGCTTGGTTTTGACCTTACCCTACCTCCGTTTTGAATTGTATTTCTTTAGATTCTCAAATCCAGCTTCCCGCACTTTTCACAGAAAACGACATAAGCGACACGTCACTGTTCCCTTTTTTCTTGAGACGGGTGTAAATAGAAGAATCGTGTCCATTGAACTATTAACACCCAGGGTGCAAATAGACACTCTGAATAATTAAATCCATAAATACAATGCAGTTAAACAAATGTCCTGGCCCAGACGGGTTTCCGTCAGAATTTTTCAAAACATTTTCGAAACTACTTTCACCATTATTGTGCTCCGTTTTCTCTGAATCTTGTAAATGAGGTCATCTACCCCAATCCTTTTTGGAGGCTTGTATCACGCTTATAGCTAAGAAAGGAAAAGACGTGACAAACTGCTCTTCATACAGACCATATCTCTTCTTAATACAGATGCTAAGGTCCTGGTGAAAGTGTTCGCGCTCAGACTGGAAAATATCCTCCCAACTATTATATCCAAGCAACTGGTTTTGTTAAAAACAGGCAGTCCTGCTTTAACATTAGACGTCTTTTTAATATTTTGTTCTCTGCCCAGGAAGACCGGCCTGAGTGTGTCATTTCTACAGATGTGGAGAAGGGATTCGACCGTGTCAAATGGCCATATCTTTTTGTTGTGTTGGATAAATATGGATTTGGACCCACCTTTACTTCATGGATCCAATTGCTCTACTCCCATCCCACTGCTATGATTCGTACTAATTCCCATCTGTCCAGACCCTTCAGGTTGTATCGTGGCACCCGTCAAGGGTGTCCTTTAAGCCCTGTGCTTTTTGACTTGGCTATAGAACCGCTTGCTGTAGCACTTGGTAACTGCAGTGGTTTACTTGGAATCTGGAGGGGGGTGTGGAGCACAGAGTTTCTCTCTATGCTGACGACCTTCTGCTCTATGTGTCCAACCCAAATGAATCTATTCCTACCGCTCGAACGCAGCTCAGCCACTTTGGTACTTTTTCAGGCTATAAATGAAATATTAGCAAGAGTGAGCTATTTCCAATTAATAACAAAGCACGGATCTTGAATTTTTCAAATTTAAACTTTGAAGTCGAGTACAACAAGTTCTCATATCTTGGGGTGATTGTCACTAAAAAGCACAAGGACCTGTTTAAAGAAAATGTTGCTGCTCTGTTGAATCAGAGCAGGCGGTTGATGTCCCTGTGGTCTCCCTTGTCAATGTCCCTCGTGGGCCGTGCAAACTCTCTTAAAATGTAATCTTACCAAAATTCTTGTATCTTTTTCAAACATTGCCCATTTTTATTCCTCATTCTTTTTCCTACAGTTGGACTCACTCATAACTTCTTATGTTTGGCAGGACAAACGTCCACGGTTAAGTAAAAATCTAAACTCCACAAGACGTCATGTCTAAAGTTAGAAAAAAATTGATTTTCCCTGAAACAAAATATTAATGCATTTGAGAAAACCTGGGGCCGTTTCCTACAGTTGTATTCAGCTCTTTAAAAAGAACAGAAAAAGAACAGGCTGTGGTATGTGAATTTATACAGCACCTGGTATAAATATTCTACCTGAGCAGTGACAGGGCGGGTGGGGGTTTGGATTTGGGTTGTTTTACTTTTTTTTGTTTGTTTTGTTTTGTTTTTTGTCTTGTCTTGTTTAGTTTTTTTCTTTGTTTTTTTTTTTTTTTTTTTTTTTTTCCATCTATTATTTCTTGTGCCATTTTACAAGTGGATCTGTTCTGGTGGGGAACTCGCAACTTGGACTTCTTTTTTTTCCAGCTCTTCAGAACTGACATTTGTGAGTTTGTTCACTGCCAGTAGTGAGTATAAATGTAAATATCTGATGTTTTGAAAACAATAAAATATTTTGATAAAAAAAAATAAAATAATTAATAAGTTGTGGCTGTGTCTGGAGAACGATCTGTTATTGCTCTGGAGTCACCGAAGGCGTGGAACATCATTTCAAGCAGAGAAGACGCGTGTCCCTCCCATGATGCATTTGGAATAGTTTGTTTGGACTTACTGTTTATAGTTTGGACCAGAGTTTGTGTTCACACCAGAGGAACCGCACCACAGTCTGACATTTGGTGTGGATTCAATCGAACTGAGACCATCTCTTTTTTGAGGTGTGGGTGTTTTAGTGCAGGTCCGAGTGGAACTGAAGCAACAACAACCAACGAAAACAAACCCAACAAAGAGTTTTTGGTTCGAATGGACCAGTTGGTGAAACGACTACTGTCAGTGAGAAAGTACCACTGGTTTAGTCCTGGTTTAGTCCTGGTTTAGTCCTGGTTCAGTTTGTTTTAGTCCTGGTTTAGTCCTGGTCATCTTATTGTTGAAATTAATAAAGTATAAATCGTGATCTATCGATCTTTCACTTTTTGGCACAGCCCTGTAACACTGGTCCTGTCTCGATCACACATGTTGAAGTTTGATTTATCGCTGAAGTAAATACAGACGATAAATGATAGAACAGAAATACATTTATTTCACACAAAAACTAAATGTACAATATTGTTGAAAATGAAAATGAGCTGCAGTAAATACACAACAGAATCAAACAGAGCAGAGGTTTACATCAGCAGATATCTCATCATATCAACGAAAAACAGAAAAAACATTTCAACTAGTGCAAAGAAAAAGTCCCCACGATAAATACAGACCCCAAAAAAACAGTTCAGGATTTCAGATGATACGTGGATGTGGTGATGAGGGAAACGCGACTCACTTTATCTCGTCAAAAGTTTGTGTTTTAAGGCCTATTCATAAGAACATAAGAAGACACAAGCAGCCGGGGCCGGACGAGGGGCGATTCAGAGTCAAAAACAAAAGTGAAATATCAAACATGTTAAGATGTCATTTTGGGCAAAACAATAAAATGTAACATGGTGATTAAATACACGATCATCTGTGTTACAGTTAATGTCCCTAAGAACTCAAATATCTCCTTTAACTAACTGAGAAATTACATCAAATCCAACAGAACCTTCTGGTCCAAAACAGATCAAAGTGAAGAACTGTCCCAGTCCAGTCACTGTGGCCTCGTTCAGTTTCTGTGTTTACAGTTTTTTTTTTTGAGTCAAAATCAAATTTCAACAGAGACACTGAAGCTCCATTTTGTCTTCTTCTTTCTCTTTCGCTTTTGTTTTCACTGTTGTGTCGTCATCGTGGGACAAGTCCAGTTTCTCTTCTGTTTTATCTTCTCTCCTTCACCAGAGTCGCAGAGGAACTTTCTTTCTTCAGTCCAACCCCTGGAAACAGAGGCTCAGAGAAGGACGAGGAGAAGGTCCAGAGGTGGGACAGTTCTCCATCAGAGGAGACGTCATAGAAGGACAGAGCTCCAGCCTCAGAGTCCAGAAACACGCCCACTCTGCCCGAGGACACGCCCCCTTCACCAGAGGACACGCCCTCTCTCTCTGAGTGACAGGAGCGGTGCAGTTGTGTTGAGTTGCTGTTGTGATGGACAAAGTAGGATCCGTCACAGATCCTCAGACTCCAGGAGTGATCATTGTGTCCGAACATACAGTCCTCTCCCTGTTCCATCTGTCCAGTCCTTCTGTAACTCATTGCTACATGAACCCCCCTGCTCCACTTCACCTCCCAGTAACAGCGCCCCCTCAGGCCAGTGCAGCTCAGGACCTGAACAGACTTTGTGAACCTGTCGTCATGATCTGGATACTTCTGCTCCTCCTTCGCTCGAGTCACAGTCCGATGGTCGTCAGACAGAAGCAGACGTCTGTGAGCTGAGTTTGGGTCCAGAGAAACGTCACAGGAGTCTGAAACACAAACACTTCACCTCAGTCTTTTATTTTTTTACTAAAATGGTCCAATGAAGGAAAACTGGGTGAACTTTGAACCATTTGAAACAGAGTGAATGACCTGAGTGAATGACCTGAGCTGTTCTCTGCACTTTACTGTGTGAAGGAAACAAAACAAACTCACACTTCCTCAGACCTGGAACCATCCAGCGCTCTCCAGCAGGATCCAACCTGAAACACACAAGTCCAGTTTAGACCAGACCAGGACCAGACCAGGACCAGACCAGACCAGGACCAGAACCAGGACCAGACCAGGACCAGACCAGGACCAGGACCAGACCAGGACCAGACCAGACCAGACCAGACCAGACCAGACCAGACCAGGACCAGAGACCAACACCAGTGCAGTCTCACCTGACAGACAGCAGGGGGCGCTGGTCCTGTAGAGCGGTCAGGAGCTCGGCGGAGGGTCCTGGATGGTTGTAGCTCAGGTCGAACTCTCTGAGGTGGGAGGGGGCGGAGCTCAGAGCTGAGGCCAGAGCAGCCCCGCCCCTCTCTGAGACCAGACATCCAGACAGCCTAAAGACACAGCATTACACTCATGTGGACACAAGGGGCAGAGTGCATCATGGGAGCGTCTCACCTGAGCGTCTCCAGTCTGCAGGGGGCGCTCTTCAGTCCAGAACACAGCAGCTCCACTCCTGAGTCCTGGAGGTCGTTGTGACTGAGATCCAGATGTGTGAGACTGGAGGAGCTGAGGACTGAGGCCAGAGGAGCACAGCTGTGAGGAGACAGACCACAGCCACAAAGACTGAGGACAGAGAGGGACATTAGAGACTAGAACCTCCACACAAGAGTTTAAATACAGTCTGAGGACAGAGAGGGACATTAGAGACTAGAACCTCCACACAAGAGTTTAAATACAGTCTGGACTCACAGGGCTTTGGTGGAGGCTCTGACCACCGGCAGCAGACCCAGGAGAGCGTTCTCTGAGGCCTGGTATTTCCTCAGGTCAAACTCCTCCAGGTCTGAGTCTGAGGACAGTAAGATGAAGGACAGAGCAGACCACTGAGCAGGAGACATGGTTCCATCAGAGAGGTATCTCCTCATGTTCTTCTGTATCTCCTGCACCAGACTTTGGTCGTTGAGTTCGTTCAGACAGTGGAACAGGTTCAGACTTCTCTCTGCAGACACACCCTCTTCATCCAGCTTCTGTTTGATGAACTTTACTGTCTCCTGATTGGTCGGGTCACTTCCTGTGTGAGTCAGCAGACCCTGTAGCAGCCTCTGATTGGTCGGCAGAGACAGCCCCAGGAGGAAGCGCAGGAACAGGTCCAGGTGTCCGTTTGGACTCTGTAAGGCCTGGTCCACAGCAGAGCGGTAGAAGGCCTCAGGGTCTGGACTCTCAGAGGAGTGTGGTGTCTCCAGCAGGTTCTCTCCAGAGCTGTAGAAGGTCTGATGGACGTGAAGAGCAGCCAGAAACTCCTGCACACTCAGATGGATGAAGCAGTAGACCTTGTCCTGGTACAGGCCTGGCTCCTCTCTAAAGACCTGTGTGAACACTCCGGAGTACACTGAGGCCGCTGCAGCGTCCAGCCCACACTCGCTCAGGTCACTCTCGTAGAAGATCAGGTTTCCTTTCTGCAGCTGCTCAAAGGCCACTTTTCCCAGAGACTTCACCATCTCCCTGGTCTCTGGAGTCCAGTGAAGGTCCTCCCCTGATCCCTGCTGATACTTGATGTTCTGGACTTTGGCCTGCACCACCAGGAAGTGGACGTACATCTGTGTGAGAGTCCGGGGCAGCTCTGGTTCTGTTTGTTCCAGAAGCTTCCGTAGAACTGTGGAGAGGATCCAGCAGAAAGATCGGGATGTGGCTCATGATGTGGAGGCTGCGGACGCTCTTGATGTGGGAGATGACGACCGTGGCCTGGTCTCTGAACCTCTTCCTGAAGTACTGCTCCTTCTGCGGGTCGGCGAACCCTCGCACCTCTGTCACCATGGAGACGCACTCAGCAGGGATCTGATTGGCCGCGGCGGGGCGCGTGGTTATCCAGAGGAGAGCGGAGGGAAGCAGGCTCCCCCTGATGAGGTTCACCAGCAGCACGTGCACTGAGGCGGACTCTGTGGGGTCGCTCAGGACCCGGGTTCGGCCGAAGTCCAGAGGAAGTCTGCACTCGTCCAGACCGTCAAAGATGAAGAGCACCTGGAGCTGTTGGAAGCTGCAGAGATCTTTGGATGGACTGAAGAAGTGGTGCAGCAGCTCCACCAGGCTGAACTGTGTGTCTCTGAGCACGTTCAGATCTCTGAAAGTGAAGGGGAACAGCAGCTGGAGGTCCTGGTGGGCCCGGCCTTCAGCCCAGTCCAGACCGAACTTCTGAGTCAGCACTGTTTTCCCCACGCCGGCCACGCCCTTCGTCAGCACTAATCTGATTGGCTGTGGTGAATGTGGGCGGGGTTTAAAGAGCTCTTCACATGTGATGGTCTCTGGAGCGGCCGGTCTCCTGGACGCCGTCTCCACGTGTCTGACCTCATGTTCCTGGTTGACCTCTGAGGCTCCGCCCTCTGTGATGTAGAGCTCTGTGTAGATCTGGGTCAGGGGGGCGGAGTCTCCTGCTTTAGCCACGCCCTCAAACACACGACTGAACCTCTGCTGCAGATCACACTTCAGTTTATCTCTGAATCCAACTTTACTCCCTTTAAACAACACACAAGAGTTAGAATGTCAAACATGTCACATATTTCATACAGGAGGAAATCTGACACACAGGGAGGGACCTGACACACGGGGAGGGCACCTGACACACGGGGAGGGCACCTGACACAC